TCCCTACAATCCCTACAATGTTAGATGCATTTTTTTTCTTAGTGCGACTATGATAAAGATTCTGTTTTGAACAGCATTGTAAATATAACAACAGATATCAGCCAAGCAGACCAAGGTCAAGTAAGGAAAGAAAGGAGGTCATTGAGCCCTACACCAATCCTCAATCACAGAGACAGAATCAAGGTTTCATTTGCGAATTTGCCTGTCTTACATTATTACTCTTTTGTTCATGATTAAAATGTTGCTATTTTCCTCCATTTCCCCCTACTTGCCTCTATTGAATAACTTTGTGTATGAATGTTTTTTACAAATTAATATATTTAGATTTATAAGATCTTCTTGGTTTCTTTAGAAGTACTTAACCTGCTTAACTGTATTCACTAGTGCCAGAGACTCTAACCTTACTGCGATCTCACTAGGGTTGCCAGTTCTGGGTTGGGAAATACCTGGAGATTTGGGGGGTGGAGCCTGAGGAGGGTGGGGTTTGGGGAGGGGAGGGAACCACAGCAGGGTTAAATGCCAGTACGTCTGCCATCCAAAGCAGCCATTTTCTCTCATATTAGAGAATTTAATGAGGAAGACAATCAATTTCAACGTAAGACCTACAGTCAATGCATTTACCCAAATCAAACTTGAACAACATGGTTAATCTAGCCATTTAAAATTCTCTTCTTGTCACTTGAGCAACGCAGGCAAAGAGCCATTTCCCCCAGGGGACCTGATCTCTATTGTCGGGATATCAGTTGTAATAGCAGGCCCAGCCTGGAGGTTGGCAACCCTATCTCACACGTTTTGCAAGCTCAAACTAGCGACATGTAGGCATCATCACAAAGTCTTTATTTTAAAATATTAAATTTAATATCTCAATTTTAATCACTTTCTGTCACTCTGCTGTGTGATTATTTTTGACTGTAAAACAATAAAATTCTAAGTCACACTGAAGACTAAACGCTGGATTCAGTATTCTTGAAATACAGCAAATTCTCAAAACGAATCCTCTGCCTTCTCGTTCCTAGTGCTTCCAAAGAAGCTGCCTGCTAGGGCATAAGTTCTCCTGCCATGGAGGCAAACATAAAACAATAATGGGGTGTAGACTTTCCAATTTCAGGGGGGGGGGCTGGGCCAGAGGCATTGCTGTGCTAGGAGCAAGGGTGGCTCCCGGGGGAGGCTGAGCACCTTCCTGAAAATTTCGGCGGGGGCTGAAGCCCCGCCGCCCCCACGAAGATTACGCCTGCAACAGTAAGTGAGGATCAGCAAACTTCTCATCTCTGCTTCCCACTGCTGCCAATGCAGCAGAGAGAAATTGTGGGGGAGAAAGTGCCATTGTGGCATCAATTCCAGCCACATAACAGGAAGTGATGTCACATGTTGTCATAGCAGCCCCCAGATCTCTGTGGTTTTACTATAGAGTTTGGGGGACTGTTATAGTATTGTAGTGATGTGTGACATGCCCTCTGGTTATACTACTTGATGTGGCACCACTACAGGTGATCCTTGGAAAGGTGTAGGTTGAGGCATGGGAGGCTGTAACAATCAGTGGGGATCAACATAAATGTCCTATTGCATGAGCAAAACAAATTACACAACCAGAATAAAGCTTCAAAAATGTGTGCTAGGGCCAATTTCTGCTGACTTGACCTTATTATAATCCACTGCACTATACCCAATGCTGTTTCTGAGGGCTCTGTGATCCTTGGATCAGATGGAAGTAAGGAAACAAGTATCTGATGAAGATGCCATGGGTCCAAGAAAGTATATGCAGCAATACCTTTGTGTGTGTGTGTTTAAGATGACCAGAAATCTTGATTTTTATTTTGGTACAACTGTTGAAAATAGCTACATTTCTGTAAATTGTATGTGTGGTTATGACAGGCCTAGAAATATCTTTGGGATTATTAACCATGATTCAATTTTACATTCAATTTAAAATATTACATATCATTTATGAATTTAGGTTTCCTAGGTGGCAGAAATTCATTTTTCCCCAAAAAGAACAAGGTATGAATGTAAAAATGTATACCTCTTATAGAATAGTTATATGAACAAATCACAGGTGGTAACATTAGAAATCACTTACTGCAGTTTTCTTCATCAGAATTGTCACCACAATCATTTTGGCTGTCACATCGCCAGTGATCTGGAATGCAGTTGCTGTTTTTGCACTGATATTCATGAGGTCCACAAGTCTTTTTCTCTGTAATAAAACATAAATATGACTTGCATTGTGGCACCTTTAATCAGTTTAAATGGTCAAAATGCATGCCACATTATCAAAATACAGTATATTAAGATATATTTAGCTAACAAAGACAGCAGAATTAACTTTTTCTTTGTGCTAGGATGCAATTTCCCACACAGGTTTCCACAAAAAAAGAGATTGTTGTTTTCTTAAGAAAAACCAAAAGTGTTAGGGACAGTGCTCCCTCTAAGCTGTGTGCGAGAGCAGCCACACATCAACACAGGAAGCCTTGCTCAGTCTGGAGCCACACAGGGTCTTGCGCTACCCATTGCCCATTTTAAGATTACAGCAGTTATATTATGCTCAGGATGTGAACTGCTCCACTCAGTAGGGAGGAAAATAGAGGGGATGTTGGTTAGGGTCAGACAGAATTACCAAATTACACTCCAAAGACTCTTAGCGAATTAAAACCAATTCTGGTTCACTGAAAATTCTTAAGCAGACAGAGGAATTTTGCATAATGTATTCAATCCAGTCTGACTAAAAAAGAACCTGGGGCGACCTTTAGTAGTTGCACTAATAGACCTAAAATGGTATAGGAATGAGCACAGACTGAGAATGAGACTATCAAGTAACCTGAGGCATCAATGACATGGTTTCTTTTAAAGTAGACAGAATTCCACACAAGCAGGGTAAAACTGTTTTATCAAAAAACTCAATAATGAGATTTTAACAGGTGATAACATTAGAACCTAACATGAAGCTAATCAATTAGCTATTATAATAAGACACCAATAGAAGATGACACTGAGAATTATGATACTACTTTGTTCAGTTACCAAATATTCTTAATAAAATATTCTTTTTTTACTCACCACAGTTTGCCTCATCAGACCCATCTGCACAATCTGGATCCTCATCACACACCCACAGTTTAGAAATGCAGTGTTGTGTGGTTTTACACTGGAAGTGGTCAGGAGAACAGCTGTTTTCCGCTTTAAAGAAAATTAGCTCTTTTAAGTACAGAAACTGTTTCCCAACATTCAGAAACTCAAGATAAAATAATCAAAACTATTCAGAACTACTTTTTCCCTAAATTTTGCAGAACTGTTATTTCACTTACTGCATTATCAAACTGTTATTCAAAAGAATATATCAAAAAGATAGTGTACTGTGGTGTTTTGCAAATGACAAATAATACAATCCAAGATTTTATCCACATAAGCAAGACACTAGCATTAGGTTTAAAGCTTCCATACTTATTTCAGTGCAGTCACTTTGTTTTTCCATTAAGTCCCTAAAATCAGAGCACAGGGCTGAATGAAATTTTGCTTCAAGATGTATAATATCTCTGCATTTGTGTATTTGATTTATATTTGGTCTCCTGGTTTTAACAGAGTACTGAGATGATGAAGCAGGGACTTACCCCCCACACTGCTTTTGTGGGCTCCGGGGCACAACAAGGGGCAGTCATGTGGCTGGTGATCTTCAGGCCGCATGGCTGGGCTGGGGTGGGTTCTGGTGTGTATAGCTGGATGCCCCCCTTCTGGGCACTGGGCATGCCAATTCTTAATCTCAGGGTCTCCCCCTTGGGTGTGGTACCTAAGAAAGCCCAGGGGGAGTTCTGCCTGATTCATCATCTGCCTTACCCCAAAGGGTCCTCTGTTAGTGATTTTATTTCCCCTGAACTATGTTCAGTGAGGTACACCGCTTTCAACCAAGCTGTACAGATTGTGCAGTCTTGCAGCACAGGCACCTTTATGGCAAAATGTGACATCTAGTCAGCACTTCGCTAGTTGCCAGTCCATCCAGATTATTTTTGTTCAGTGAGGTTTAACGGGGGATGGTATGTGGACAAGGCTATACCCATGGGATACTCAGTGGCTTGCACTGCCTTTGAGACATTCAGCACCTTTCTGGACTGGGTGGTTAAAAACCACACAAAGTCCCCAGTTGTCTCCCATTTTATCGATGACTTCCTAATTGCTGGTCCAGTTGCAACCACAGCATGCACCAAGCACCTGGCCTTCTTTCAAGCCTTAGCAGTGGAGCTGGGGATACCTTTAGCACAGGACAAGATGGAGGGCCCCATCACCCACTTAACATACTTGGAAATTCAACTGGATTCAGTTCAGGGCTCCTGACACCTCCTGGAGCACAAGCTCACTGCTCTAGTCTCCATTATCACTGAGATTAGGGGCAAGCAGAAGTGCACATTGAAAGAAATTCTGGCCCTACTAAGCAACCTTAATTTTATCTGTCAGGTGGTGTCCCCTTGTCACGCATTCTGAGCTCGGTTTGACAGTGCTACATTGGTGGTGCATGTTCCTCATCACCATAACATGGTTAATACACACACACACACACACACACACTTTCCTATATAGTCAATCTAGATAGATAGATATTAGGATCACCAGTCCCCCAGAGGAGGTAGCAGATCCACTGTCCCCATCTTCCACTCTGAGGGGCAGTGAGAGAAAAATAAACAAAACAATGGCCATTAAGTCTGTGGCGTGGCATCACTTGCAGGAAAAATCTAGAAGTGACATCACACCTCTCTAGGGATCCCTGGAATAGGGTTGCCAAGTCCTACCTCGGGAATAGCGGGGAGAGTCCCAGACATCTCCTGGAGCCTCCTGGCTGGAAGTGATGTTGGGGGTGGGGCCACAATAATCCAAGGGAAAACCATAGAGTTTTTCCTCGGATGATAGATTGTCTCCCCGCAACATGCCCGACGCAATTATGTCACCTCCGGGTGACTTGTTCCCTCCCTCTATTTTCCCCTTCCCTCTGCCACCCCACCAGCCACAGTTGGGACACTCATCTAGAGCTTTCTTCTAGATCTCATTGTATTTCTTCCCACAATGGACATTACTCCTAGAGTTAATGTATTTCCCATGAAAACTAATTGATATGAAAAACATTAAATAACTACAATTAGACACTTCAGCTTTAACAAACATTTAACAAAACTAAATCAAGATTCCTAGAAATCCTTTTGGTAGTTACCTTTTCCCCGTTTTAGTTTTTATAAACTGTTACAGATCCATAAGAGCACCTGACCTCTTAGCCCATGGCTGCTAAATTTGTTTGGTAGCTACTTACGACAATCTCTTTCGTCTTCTTCATCACCACAGTCATCCTGCCCGTTACACCTGAGATTTATTGGTATGCACTTCTGTTTCTTTGTGCACTTGAATTGACCGGACAGGCAAACATGTGTATCTGGCAAGAAAAAAAAATCCAAAAAATCAAATGAGTCTTATTAATATGATTTAATTTGATTAATAATTGTTTAGATCCATCCCAAACTGGTTTCAGACCTAGTTATGGGACTGAAACAGCCTTGGTCACCCTGGTGGATGACATGCACCAGGAGATGGACAGGGCAGGTGCAACCCTGTTAATTCTCCTGGACCTTCCAGCAGGCTTAAATACCATCACTCATGGTATCCTTCTGGATTGCCTTTCAGTAATGAGACTGAGAAACATTGTTCCAGTCCTACCTTGAGGGTCAGTTTCAGCATGTAGTGCTGGGGGACTGCAGCTCAACCCCTTGGCCTTTGGGCTATGGGGTTCCCCAAGGTTCCATCTCCATGCTTTTCAACATGCTTTTCAACTGCTGGGTGAAGTCATCTGGAAATTTAGGCTGAGCTGCCACCAATATGCAGATGACACTCAGCTCTATCTCACACTTCCAGCAGATCCCAGGGATCCTCTGGAAACTGTGAACAGTTTCCTGGGGGCAGTTTTGGAATGGATGAGGGTTAGCAAGCTGAAACTTAATCCTGACAAGATGGAGGTGCTACTGGTGGGTGGAAGGTCCTACCCAGGAAATGGGTTATCCCCTGTTCTGGATGAGGTTGTACTACCCTTAAAGGAGCAGCTTGCCTTTCCACCCAATAAATAGGTGGCAGCAGTGGCCATGGGTGCCTTTCATTAGCTTTAGCTGTTGAGCCAGATGCAGCCCTTCCTGGATTGAAAAGATCATTCCACTGTGGTGCATACCCTAGTAGCATCAAGATTAGATTGTTGCAATGTGCTATATGTGAGGATGCCTCTGAACACTGTCTAGAAGCTACACTTGGTACAGAATGTGGTGGCCAGAGTGGTGAGTGGAGTGGGTTGTAGGAACCATGTAACTCCTGTCTTGTTCCACCTACACTGGTTTTCAATTTGCTTCCAGGCTCAATCCAAGGTGCTGGTATGGATCTTTAAAACCCTATATGGCCTGGGACCAACATATTTAAGGACCAACTTCTCCCATATGAACCCATTTGCTGACTCCAATCAGCCTCACAGACCCTGTTTCAATTGCCCCCACCATCTAAGCTAGACAGTGGCAACCCCAGGAAGGACTTCTCTTTTGTGGTGCCAAAACTTTGGAACTCCCTCCCCAGGGAGAGTCATCTGTCTCCCTCTATCATTGTTATTCACTAGAAGGTGAAGACTTTTTTGTTTTGTCTGGCATACCTCCAGTAATGGTTTTTTGGTCCTCCTTTTAGTGTTTGTTTGTGTGTTTTTAATTAAATTTTGTATTGTAAACTATATTTTAATTGTTTAAATGTTCTGTCTGTTCACCACCTTGTGGACCCTGATTGGGTGGAGAAGCAGCATAAAGATGTTTTATAAAAATAATAATAATTTAAACAAATAATAATTTAAACAAAAATTCTTCCGCATGCCTATCTCTGACCAACCACTCTTTTACTGTAGGCCTGGAATCATTTTATGTAGTATTTATCATAGTCTACGGGGGTTTTTAATTTATTTAATGCTCTTAACCATGTTTTTCTCTTGCAAAGCAGAACTCAAAGTGGTTTACAAAATATTAACCATCTAAAACACACACAACAATAAAAGAGGAACAGCAACCAGGAGGTGACACTGAGCAAGTTGGAAAACTCAGTATTTCATTGGTGGGATACTCTCCCCTGACAAGTGACAGTGGGTTGCTAATATTTTAAAAATTCTGTCCCTGAGTTAACATTTGAATAGTATCTTTTACCCTTTAAACATATACCACATGATCTGCTGTTGTCTTTCCCTCTTACTTCCATAGTTTCCAAGAAACCATTATTGTCTGCCACATGATGTTATTAACAAAAATGGCCCACAGAGTGAAATTTTCTCACTCTCTTCTTTCAGAGCAACCAAAAATGTATTCTAAAATTCTGCTTCTGGGGAACCAGGGCATTCAGGAATAGCATGTCAGGAGTGTTTGGGATTCTTTTTACAAAGGGGAACCAAAAGCAACACCCTCGAACCATCCCTAACATGGTGCCCATAGGAGTGTTTGGGATTCTTTTTACAAAGGGAAACCAAAAGCAACACCCTCAAACCAGAGATTCCTAACATGGTGCCCACGGTCCCAATAACATCCACCAATGTGTTCATTGATACCCACTTCCTGGCAGTAGTACTATCTTTTCCTCACCTCATTTAAGCAGGAGGTGCTATTAAACATGAGAGGCATTGCCTTTGTCTTAGCAGGGAACACCCATTCAGAAGCAAGCAGTCTACATTATAAGGAGGATGCTTGGCTTGGCACATCTCAATGTTTTGTGACTGGGCTCAACTTCCTCAACAGGCTTTTTATGGTGGCACTCACTAAATGTTCTTAAAATTCTAAACGTTCCTATAAGTTCTAAATGTTGTAGACACCCACCTTAGACATTCATAAAGAGACCATACTTTCAAAAGTTGAACCTAAAGCTTTCGGAGCAAGGTGAACAGCCAAACTGACTCAGATATCTGAATAATAATAACTGGATACATAGAATAGCAGATATCACATAACAACCTGTTGAACCATGAGCACTGTTCCACTTTGGGTCCTCTGAAAGGTTAAGACACTTAATGGGTGTCCCGGGACTCCTTCTGGCAGTGCACTGTTCTCCCAAGCCCAACAAACTTTCAGAAAGGTTCCTTGCTTCTCCCTGGGTATCTATGCTACCACCACTTGGTCAATTAGATGTTTTTCTTGCTGAGGGCCAGCCCTCCTAGCCCTCTGTATGCATTGCCATTTGCTGGCTCCACCTACTGCCATGTGTCCTGCTTTCACTCTGGTTAGCCTTTGCAGGAACAGCTTACTGCAACTGTGCACTCCCAGGGATCTAGTGATCTACTGACCAACTACCTCCCTTCTCCTGCACTATTTTAGTTACATATTTGAGTGGGGCTTATGGGGAACAAACTTCCAGCATTCAAAAGAATAAGAAATTGATTACAAAGAATGTGTCCACACACATTCTGCAGAGCAATGAATTGAGCACACTTACAAAGTAAAGGTACATACACAGAGACCTCTGTCCCTTAGCTAAAAATACCCTGACTGTTATTATTATAAGGTAGGCTCTTTACTCTCAGAGCTGCAGAGTTCTATCTGTCATCTGTTACCTTGAGTCTCTGTCAGACTGCCTGCACTTAGCTCCACATGGTAATGACAGCCATGAAGATGGAACCCAGGTATGAGAACTTCTTCCAGCAATTCGTCCCCAGATGGAATCACCCAAAATGGACCTTGTTCCCTTTGTGTCTAGGGAATTTAACTCCTCTGTTTACCTACTTCCTTGTGGGTCACCCTTTTTCTTCCTGTCATTCCCAGGAAGAGTTACAATCTAGCATGTGGCATCCCCAAGTCTTTGTTCCCTCCTAGGTGTCACATTCTGCCAGGAGATCAGATGGCCCTTGGACTGTTTTCTGCTAAGTACCAGGTGTTTGTGAGGGCCATCAACATGATGGGGGGCCTGAGGACAATGAATCACATTCATGTTTCCTGTCCTTATACCAATAAAGAAACTTCTTGGAATTATGTGGGGTTTTTTGTAACTGTCATATAATGACCTACCACAATTGATCTCATCAGAGTGGTCCCCACAGTCATTTTCTCCATCACATATAAAAGCTGGTAAAACACAAAGTCCAGTTCCACACTGAAAACGACCTGGTTGACATTTAAATTCAGCTGTAAAATGAAACAAGTTATTGGATCATAAAATGAAAACTAATGGGTTCAACCAATTGATTGTGTATTTGTGCCCTAAATTCCATAAGAAAAAGATTAAGCCTCCATTGCATCCACTAGCTCTTGCACAGCACAGTTTAGGGTAATTAGATCCTTAACTTCCTCTCATGGAGAGAGCCCAAAAGGTTAGTAATTTGACCATTAGCTATGAGGATTTTGTGAGCTTTTTCCTGGAAAAAGTCTTATTGCTCTGCCATGATCACCTGCCCATCGTTGATACAGCATGTGAACTAAAGGCCCCTTGGCTGTCTTTGGAGTCAGTAATCAAAAGCTTCAACCAGCTTACCCAGGCCTATGTCAACAGGATCTTGGGTGCTGTTAGGCCAACCACATGCCTCTTAGACTCATGTCCCACATGGCTGGTGAAAGCCGGTGGTGAGAGAATATGGGGTCCCCTGGTAGACATTATCAATCTGTCCCTGGATTTGGGGGTACACCCGGAGGGTTTAAAATATGCTGTGGTGGTTCTGCTCTTGAAAAAGCCATTTTTGAATCCTACAGAGCCTTCAAATTACTACCCAGTCTTGAATCTGTCATTTCTGGGTAAAGTAATTGAGAGAGTGGTAGCCGAGAAGCTCCAGAGTTTCAACATTGACACATTGGCACTGGACCCATTCTAGTCCAGTTTCTGCCCTGGCCGTGGGACGGAGATGATTCTGGTTGCCCTCATGGACAACTTCCACAGACAGCTGGATCAAGGCAGGTTGGCACTGCTGTTATTGCTTGATCTTGCAGCGGTGTTCAACAAGGTGGATCATGATCTTCTGAATCACCACCATGCTGACATAGGAGTCTATGGGGTAGTCTTGAAGTGGCTTACCTCATTTCTCCAAGGCCGAGGACAGAGGGTAGCACTAGGAGAGAGGGGGTCAACTAGATATCCCTTAATATGTGGGGTCCTTCAGGGGGTAATCCTCTCTCCAATGTTGCTTAACATCTATATGCACCCCTCACCCAGCTGTTGTGGAGTTTTGGGGTGGGGTGTCACCAGTACACTGATGACACCAAGCTGTACCTGTTGCTGGGTGGCCACCAGGATGCCGCCCCACAAAATCTGGCCATGGGTTGAAGGCCATGGTGGGATGGCTGAAAAAGAGCTGGCTGAGACTGAATTCAACTAAGGCAGAGGTTCCGTGGCTGGCTGGCTGGCTGGCTGGGACTCTCGACAGTGTGCCCTTAACATCTGCACAAACTGTCAGGAGTTTGGTGCTGTTCTGGATGCCTCCTTATCAATGAAGGCCCAGAACACAAATGTTGCCAAGCTGGCATTTTCCCAGGTACGCCAGGCGAGGAAACTGGCCCCCGTTCTGTCTCGCCCCAACCTAGCCACAGTAATCCATGCAATGGTTACCTCCACATTGGACTTCTGTTACGTTCTGTAGTGAACAATCTACTGGTGATCCCCAGCCCAAAAGACATCCAGCTATCCTCGATCAGAGGACAATCCCACCCGGTGGAACTTTCTGTCAAATAACATCTGTGCCCTGCGAGACTTAATGCAGTTCCACATGGCTTGCAAGTCCTTTGGTTCCACCAGGGTTTGGGTTGAGGACAGCAATGGGTACCATCCTACTGGCAACCCCCCCAATTTCCCTGCTTCTGCTCTACCTCCCCGCAAGGCGGTGCCACTGTTGGAAATTGTAGGTGTTAGCACCATCTGAGAATGCTTTATCTACATATTATATTTGTATTATTTAAGTTGTCATACTATTTATGAATGTTTTTACCATTGTGTTGTCCACTGCAGGCTCATCTGGGGCTCTCTTGGGCAGTACCTTTAAACCAGACTGTCCAAAATAGCCTACAAAGCAGCTGACCCCATGGGAAGAACTCTCCCTATGGGCTCAGTTGGGGCTCTGTTGGGCAGCCTGGTATAAACTGGACTGGGGGGGAAAGCCCACCAAGCAGCTGATCCTGTGGGGAGAACTCTTCCCGTAGGCTCAGCTGGGGATCTGTTGGGCAGTCTGGTTTCAAGGGACTGCCCAAAAGAGTCCCAGTCAAGCTGGCAGAAAGTGTGGTCCCCCCAGTCAGCTGTTTTGTGGGCTGTCTTCTGCTGTCCCTTTAAACACCCTCTGTTTAAAGGGACTACAGAAGAAAGCCCACAAAACAGCTGAGTGGCAGGAGCGATGTGCTCCAGCCCAGCCCCTCATCTGTTTTTAGGGATTGCTGGTCATCCCCAAATTTATCAGTGATATTTCCAGGAATTTTTTTTTCTAGTTCTCAAAAAGTCTTGGGTACATTTGGGATGTCAAAATATACCCCCCCCCCCCAAAAAAAAAGTATTTTCAGATTGGGGAGATCCAAATGCACACCCCTAATTTGAACCTCTCTTGTTTTGAAAACCCTACAGGGTTGCCATAAATTGGCTGCAACTTAATGGCAAAAAAACCCTTAGCCTAATTAAGGTAGCCTTACATCACCATTGTTTTTATTTTAGAAGGAACCAATCTACCAATCTATACAGGGTACATATAATGATAAATAACCTATATATGATAATGATATATAATCTATCAACCATTCTATCCTATATATGCAGGCTTTTCCTTCAGCCCTTCATGTGTGCATTTTCTGTTAAGGCTAGGATAAACAAAGCTGTCAGTAGTGCTGGCTGTGTTTGGAGCCAGAGTATTGTTGCCCAAATACTAGAAGGCCAAACAGGCTGTCTCTTCAGAGTAACTGCACTAAAAAAAAAACAGGTTGCTTACCAGTAACTGGTGATCTTCGAGTGGTCATCTGTGCATTCACACCGCCCGCCCTCCTTCCCCTCTGCTGTCAGCTCCTGATTTTTTGATAGGTGTTGATTGGCGGCGGTGCTTTGAAGGAACTGGCGGGATCTCCGCGCCCGTCCCCTCTGGGCATGCGTGCTGGGGTTCCTGCGCATGCTCAGTGGGACTCGCGCGAAAATCCTTTGAAACATAGCTTGCTACGGCACCGGTTGGGTCAGCGCAGGCGCACTAAACCCATTGGTGTGAAGCACAGAGACCACGAAGAAGATCCTGGAGATGCTTACTAATGATACAAATCAGCCATGAATAAGCCCTGTTTAATCCATATTTTGGAATCTCATATCTTCGTTATTGGGTGCACGGGCCAAAATGATAACCATTAGTGTTATTTGAGAGATTCTCATTTGCTAGGTTTTTTCCTCAACAAAGTAACTAAATGTATTTCCTACCAAATAAACGGTCTCAAAAGGATTTTTGTACAGCTCCAAACCCACAAACATACCTCTTACCAGAATTATGATGCCTAAACATAGTGGAATCTAATTGGCATGAAAGATGAATTGCTCAGTAAGAGGAAAGTGAACAGTTTCCTGCATCTTGATTTTATGCAGAACATCACACTAAATGCAAAAATCAGCACAATTACTATATCAGAATTGCTTACTCCACTAGTAGTGAGAATGTATATTATTGTTACTCACTCTGAGCCAGTTTCGAGGAGAGTGGGGTATTAAATAAATAATAATTAAATGTTAATGATGATATAAAGGACAGGGATTATTTTCTAAGAGAAAGCAAGGAATAGTACAAGTGAAAATGACTGTATGTTCAGGTATATAAACAAAATTAAAATTAATGATTGCCTAACTCTGAACCCTAGAAAAGACTTTGTAAGTAAATTTATGTCAACTTCAAATTTGTAGGACTCTAGGCAGTCAGTAGGCAGAAGATGTTCAGGGTTAAAAATTTCACAAATGTATTCTAGTACTCTACAAATTAGTATGCACTTCTTGTTTCTGATAATGTTTCTGATAATGTCTTCCAACACTGAAGATTTGTGACGCTTCTTTCCACTCTGAAATAAACATGTGACTCCCATTTTCCTTTAAGCAGAGTATCAGAAGTGAGGAAGCTATTCTTTTTGAAGTAAAGAAGCCTTTCCTCATAAACTACAGTAATTTGTTCTGCAACAAAGTAAGGCACTCTCGATGCAAATTTATGTAGAGTTACTCCAGTCTAAGCCCACTGATTTCAGAGATATTCTGAGAAGTACCACTAATTGATCCAAAGTACCACAAACATAACTCTGCTTGTGGAATGGAACTTTCTTATCCCCCCTTCCCTTCAAAGGTGAGGGAACTTCCATGCACAGTACGGGGCATTTTGTGTGGGGTTTGCAGTGGAAAGTGGCAACCAGTGAAAAATTGTCCCTCTTCAAGTGGATGTGCACTTTCACCAGCAAAAATAGGAGCTTTGGATCCACCACAATGTCTTACAGAAATACAAAATAAATGAAAATGTGTTTCAATTGCAAGCAACCAATACAAAGGAATTCAAGACTATGACAAGGGGTATGTGGCCAATTTTGAAATAGTCAGCAATAGAAGTCAATTAAAAAAGAACCCAGAGGGATCTCCTTCCTTGTAAGCTTTCAAGAAAAGACTGGACAGCAATTGGTTGAAATGTTTTAGGTATATTCCACTTTAGGGCAGGAGGATAGACTAGGTAATCCAGTCAATCTGTGCTTTTATTTTTGTTCTGACAAAGTGTCAACCCAATTTTTAGAATGGACATGACCCAAATAAATTAGTGTACATTCAGCAGATTAAAATGTAGTTGTAGTTTACAGATACTGCATCTTTAAACACCAAGATACCTTGTAGTCACCTGTCATAGCAAAATTATGGCAGACCTCCTGCCAATTGTTAAAAGCCTTGTTTACTTCAACCTTTCTAAGCACTGATTGGAGTTCTGTGGCAGCTGTATGAACCATGAAAAGCTATCAAAACATCTGCTGATTTGACAGAACACCCAGGACACAACTACAGTGCTACTGAAGAAGCTTAGCAGTAATGCAACATATGAAATTACAGTACAAGGTAGTAATTACTGAACTCCTGTCAATCTTATTTTGTATTGTATGAAGAAGAAATAATATGAAGGGTCAGCCAAAAACATCTCTAGACTGTTAAACAGCACACTGCACTGCACTAAAAACTATCTGAAAAACATGTTGTTCTAAAAATACATGTTTACAGCACAGTAATCTTGTACATTTTATTGTATGATGATTCTAATAAATACATAGGAATAAAAACTACTGTGGAAGGTACACATAAATTCCTGTCCCGTCCCATGTTCCTTTTGACTCCCAGAAAAATTGTTCCTGGAGTTGTGGGACCCACATGGATGAACAGCTGTACACATCAAGGAGCTACAAGGTGAATGGGGAAAGGGGTGAAGCCCCCTCTTTGCTTGTCCATCTGCACAGCTGCACAGATGGAAAAAGCAGAAGGGGTGACTCCCCCCCTTCTTCATCCTGCTCCCTGACTCACATGGCTGTTCACTTATGTAGGTCCCACTATCAGGAATACTCTTTCCAGGTGTTGAAAGTGACTGCAAGTAGGGAGAGGAATACAGGAAAAATCAGTGTCCTGATGGTTTTTTGTAAGATATGAGCCAATATATTACAGTGTTGGCTTTATGACTCTTACAAATATAACTTACAATGTCTGCCATACAGCATTTTTAAAATACTATACACACTTACGACATTCTTCAGGTTCATCTGATCCATCCCCACAGTCATCCACGGTGTCACATTTCCACCAAAATGGAATACATTTGTCAGTTTTGCAGCGGAACTGCAGGGGTAAGAAAGAGTCATGAAAGCTTTGTCATATTAAAATTTTATTGAAATAACATGAATAGTCTATGTGAATAAGAACTCATAAGCAACCAACAATCAAAATTTTAAGCCTGCGCTCCTTAAAACAAATTTCTAATAATTTTGTATAACACATTTTAAAAGGCTGGATTAAAACATTTCTTTTTGCTTTATAGGTATACTAGCATTAGTAGGCAATAGTATTACCAGTGGAGGATCTGATCCTGAAATTTTTAATTCCAAATATCTGCACTTGTCAGCTAGAATGAGATATAAATGTACATTATATTATACTAGGATTAAGGCCCGTTGTGGAAATAAATACAACGAGATCTAGAAAGAGGATCTGGGAGAGTGCCAAGACCTTGGGCACTCAGTGTCAATGTGCTGTGGTGACCTCAGCAGGGTATAATGACACAGTCCACCATTTTCTCCAGAGGAACTGATCTCTGCTACCTGAAGAGCAGTTATAATTTTCAGTGATCTCCAGCCCTCACCTGGAGATTGGCAACAATTGTTACACAGGAAGAAATGACTATTTTGGAGGGTGGAGTCTATGGCATTGTACCTGTCTAAGGTCCCACCCCTCCTCAAACCTCACCCTCCCCAGGTTCCATCCCTCAAATCTCCAGAAATCTCCCACCTGGAGTTGGCAACCCTATCTCCTTCCCAGTCAATCATCAACCTACCTTTATTTCCCCCTCACTCTTCAGCTTTCCATTCCCCCCCACACACCTGCAGCCTCTTCCATGCTCTAAAGCCCTGACTGCCACAGAGTCCACCATTTTCTCCAGGGGAACTGATCTCTGCCCTCTGGAGCCCAGTTGTAATTCTGAGTGATCTCCAACCCTCATCTGGAGATTGGCAACAATGGTTTCCCAGGAGGAAAAGTAGTCTTTCACTGCAATGGGGACCGAAGCAGCTTACATCATTCTCCTCTCCCCCTTTTGACTTGCACAACAACCTTGTGAGGTAGGTTAGGCTGAAAGTCTGTGACTGGTCCAAAATCACCCACTCAGCTTCTACAGCAAGAACTTGGATCTAGCAGACCCTGCTCTGAAGCACTGACTGCTACGCTTAGGGTAGCCAACCTCCAGGTGGAGCCTGAAGATCACCGGGTATCACAACTGA